TTTGCTCAATTCGAAGTATTGGAATTTGCGAATGCATGCATCGCATGCTATGTATTGCGAATACCGGTAACTGGCATCGGCAACCGTTAACAACCGTATTAAACCGGTTTGCTGACTTTGGACTTTACGACCCATGGGCCATGTCCCTTTAAAATAGTGAAAATCACAAAATCGACATGTCCTAGTCATTAACCGTTAGCGCTAACGGTCGGTCGGTCATTGAAGTGCTGCTTGTTTATTTCCTAGGGTTGTCAGGACGCGTCTTGCGTCTTGGCATCTTTCAAAGGTTGATCCGTCGTCGCAAGAGTCTCCTAATCGGAAAAGAGAGAGGGGAAGACAGAGGGATAAGCGTATGCGAAAGGAGATGCGCGCGGCGTCTGGCGCGCGTGCGCGAGCGAGAGGGTGTGAGTCGTAGCAAGGGCGAGGGGGATGGAGGAAGCGAGAGCGTGAGAGGAGTGTTGGTGGAACATCAGGTCCCATTTTGATGTGGGAAGCAGGTGGTGCTGGTGGTGTCATAGATGTCGTTAAATGTCGGCGCATTGCCGAGAGCGCTTTGGTGGTGTCAGTGATCTGTTGCGGAGGTTGAGAGGGAAGGGAACGGAGGGACACAGGAGTCAAAGAGCCAGATGTGTGTGTGTGTGTGTGTGTGTGTGTGTGTGTGTGTGTGCCTGTGTGTGTGTGTGCCTGTGTGTGTGCCTGTGTGTGTGCGTGTGTATGTGTGCATGTGTGTTGATTAACCGCGACACGGGAGCGGGCCAACATGTGTTGGTGCACGAATGCGTTGGTGCACGAATGCGAGCTCCGTAGTAGAGCGACGTATACTAGTGCCTTTTCCAGTAAATAAACCGTGGAGGATTCTCCAACAAGATGCGTAGATGGTATCCAGAGCCCGGATAGAAGTGCGCGGCGCTGTGGGCAACTGCGTGTGTGTGTGTATGTGTGTGTGTGTGTGTGTGTGTGTGTGTGTGTGTGTGTGTGTGCGTGTGTGTTTTTAACATCTGAGCCGCGATATGAGAACCTGATGCCTGAGTTGTATCGATGTGAGCTCCGTGAAAAGCTTTTCCGTAAATTACTGTAGACATAGCTGCTTGAACATTCCTCTTCACAAAATCCCTCAGGATGCTTCCCCTTCCCTGGGGCAGCCATGTTGAGGGCAGGAGCATAATAATGTACCAACAGATCATCCCCACGCAACAGATCAGCCGGGGGGCTTACATCCAAGCTGGTAAGAAAGGTTGTGACTGACCTTGCTGGCCCAACATTCTGTGTTGCGGCCAAGTGCCAGGCCCAGGTCAGCGACAAAAGCTCTGTAACACTGGGTGCCCGACTTACTCACTATGGATTTCCAAAAACATAAGCTCCCTCGTAGGTTAGCCCAATGAAATCGTAGTGGCCTCTGTGACAGCTCACAGTACAGCAGAAGCTTAGTTAGGCTCCTGGCCCCTACCACCGTCCACATGAACGCGCGCTGCTCCTGGACCATATGGCTTTGCTGTTGGGCACTGGCGGCTAACAGAACGCGTAAGGGACGGCGTTATATACCTAGGGAGGAGCGAGTATGCCCTTGCTGCGGCACTGGTAGCCACATCGAGGATGAGAAACACATTTGCTGGACTGCCCGGTTTACGACGGAATCAGATCTGATATGGGCTTTCCACGCTTCGAACATATGAAGGACGCTATGAAGTGGGAACCTGAACGCCTGGCAAGGATGCTGGAACGTATATGGTCTCACCGCAACTCTATCGTTCCCTTTGGTCGTTAGTATACTTCATCACTTGTTTCGCTGGAAGTGCGAGGTAGGATGGTGCTTATAGGCGATTTGGCAGCCCTTGAGCCCTCGGCTCGTACTAGGGTGGTTTGCAGGTACGGGGAACGCACCCACGACCATGTAACAACAACAACAACAATATGGATTTGTCACTCGGCATTCTCGAAGTTCACATTAAAAAACCCGGATCCCCACACTTGCACTTCGTAGGAAAGGACAGGCAAGGCCAGCGCATTATAAAATGACAAGTTGAGCTTGGGTTGGTCTTTGATACCAAATCGCAACAAAGTTCGACGACTAGTGCAGCAAGTTATGAGGAGTCATGATGCAACGATAGTTGTGGCTTTTAAATATACCGTTCGGTATTGGATATTATAAATATCACACGTACCGTTGGTACGGATGACCGTTGGCCCGGTAAGCCAATGGCTGCCTGAGGGGTGTTACATTTGTTACACTCAAAATCACGTAGGATTGGCCAACTTATCCTGGGGATGATCAAGCTCGTCTGGGATGTCACCATAGTCCAAGTTTTGACCACCAGTGCCATCCGAAGGCGTTGCTGCCCTCCGCCACACGATAGGCGGCAATCATGGCTCTCCCCCCAGGATGAATCTAAAGGAGCTCTTGTGCCAGTCCAGTGGAAGAAAATGTCTGCAGTGGAAGGAAATGCCACCGACTATACGTGCAACTCCTCCTGATTAGTAAATAAACACACGATTGCAGCAGCACATAACTGCATAGTACCGTAGTAAGCATGAGGGGATGTTTGGGTTTCTATGTTGGTCAGAAATGGGTGAAACCGCCCAAAATGTTTGTCACCAGGACCGTCTGGTTGAATGGTCCGGCCACGTCCATTGTTGTATCCAACCAAACCACAACTGGATGGTGGCGTCGGAAGACACCGATTTGGAAGAGTTTCGTCCGCTTAAATAGCGGAGGATGCGGCCATCCCATGAATCGTACAGCCAGTTCCGAAATGGCGCGGTCCAGTCCCGGAATGGCGTACCGTTGACCCACTCATGCTTCCAATCGATGACGGGGCTCCACGAGCCAGGGACCAGCGTCCCAGTCGTAGCCTGTGCTACGACCCCCGCCCATACTTTTGCAAGTATGGACTTCTGCCTGAGGCGGCGCCCATACTTGTAGGCATCCATGACAGCTTCCCGCTCGCCGTCGGACCCGGCAAAACAGGCAGTCGGAATTCGGTTCCTTCCAGCGAACTTGTCCAACAACCGCGCCAAGCGAAAAAGGAAAAGCCAGACAGAAAATGTATGTTGTTACAGGGTGGTATAGCTTCACCAGCGGCCCCTTTTGTATCCGTGTGGGACCAGATTTAAGAAATAGTATAGAACAATTGTGCCCTTTCAACCCAGGCCTTTGGAATAAAGGTTCTAGGACCCATTAATGCCTCGCACAGATGGCCGCAATAGGGCCGTTAGGACGGAAGGCTCACCCCTTACTGACATGCGAACACAGAGTGGATCGGACCGCGGAGAGATGCGCTCCTACCACACGTGCCGGTTATGTTCGTCGTGACACCCAAGTGGCCCAGCGAGACATGTATGCACTAGCCTTGCGGGGTATCGTTTTCTGCTGGGGCAAGCTGCAGCACAGGCGCTGACACGGGGTCGGGATCGACTGGATCCACGGATTTCCACGACGGAGAGCCGCAGCAACATTTCGTTATTATATCCATTCCAACGCTGCAAGGTGGTTTGGGGCCTTGAAGCGCCTTGATGCGGCTGCGCGGCACCTGCTGCATGCCGGCCTCCGGGAGCCTTGGAGGCCAGTAGGCTTTTGCGGCCTGGCTAAAATGTATACCGTTACTTACGAGGACTCCATAACGGCGGTTGCGCTGTGGCCGAAGGCTGGTGGTTTGGGGCCTTGAAGCGCCTTGATGCGGCTGCGCGGCACCTGCTGCATGCCGGCCTCCGGGAGCCTTGGAGGCCAGTAGGCTTTTGCGGCCTGGCTAAATGTATACCGTTACTTACGAGGACTCCATAACGGCGGTTGCGCTGTGGCCGAAGGCTCCCCAGATCGTCAGCTGAACTCCAACTGGAAACCAACGACATCGGCAAAACGAACTCCACCATGTCAAAGAATGGGACTTCATGCCCATTACAACTATGATAGAAACATCCTGATATAGTAGTATCAATGCCAGAGAGACAGAAAGGAGCCAACTCCCTCCGCAACTGTCAATCAATCCAGCTCTCCGCTCTGGCTGCGATGAGCTGCTGGGCAGGGATGGACCCATGGGGCCGCCTTATGAGAATGCGGGCCGTGTCAGCGATATTCCACTCAGCCGTGGACAACCCGCTCCAAACGGCTAAGCTACAGCTCCCACATTGCTGCAGATGCAAATTCATAGAGTCAATTTCGGGCTTCGCGGTGGCCACTGTAGCATATCCGCTGGGCGCTGTGATCTACTGCTGTAGTCAGCAAGCAGCATGCAAAGCTCTTTGTTGCACCTGCGGATACCTTACGATCGGCTCATCAACCGTCCCCGTTTGACAAGAGTTACCGTCCATCATCGGCAGCCCGTCATCGGTCCGGTTTTTTGGGGGCTGCAAACTGTTTGGGGACTGATATTGTGTAAAATCACGCGTCACTGTTGAAGTTGCTTTGCGAAAATCACCGCGCTCTGCACACTTTTTAACTGTTATTCCCAAAGTAGCAGCAAAAACCGGGTACCAGCAGGTGAAGAGCAAAGTTCAACTAGCAGCGTCAAAAAAGTTAACGACGGAACAGCAATAAAAGTATACGGCCGCCGCCGTCGTACCAAGCTCCTTCAACACACTTCAGCCTCAGTGGTAACACGTTCAGCCCTTCTTTCTCTGGCCTCTTTGCTGTTGCATATAGTGCCGCGACCATGGCCAAGTCTAAGAACCACACGGCGCACAACCAGAACCGCAAGGCGCACAGGCAGGCAGTCATACCATTTTGAAGTTGTGCAACCTAGACCGGAACCTTTAACTTATACCATTGTTGTTATATTACAGGAACGGTATTAAGAAGCCGCAGAAGCATAAGTACGCCTCGCGCAAGGGGGTGAGCTGCCGCCACTGCTGCGATGTTGAAATGCAGCGATCGCGATTATTGCGTTCTGAGGTTTTCCTCCCTTAGGAAGTATGGAATGTTAGGACTGCATAGTCGTTTGGTGCGGGGTTCTTGGTGATGTAGCTCCAGTGGCCTTTCCATCTCGTGGCGTTCGCTAACGCTCTTTCTATTGGTGCTCGTAGATGGACCCCAAGTTCCTGCGCAACCAGGTAAGAAACGGTCCAGGCTATTGGACTTGACGTTCGGAATTTCGGGGAACCGCTAACGTCCTTAAGCTGACGGGTCAGGTTGTGACGGGGCAACCATGGCATCCCATGTCTTTCCTGAATCGGAAGTTGCCCCGCTGTGCTGCAGAGGTACGCCAAGAAGCACAACAAGAAGGCGGAGTAAGCGGCCATGAGGAGGCCTACAGACGTGTCTTTCCTGGCTATCGCCAGCTGTGGCTGTGCGGCACCTGTGTAACGCAGTTCCTGGACCCATGTAGACCCTTTTTCCCCGGGGGCTGCGATTGTGCATGTGAAAACCGTAGGAGCCATACCCAACCTTTTCCGAATGGGTTGTGTGGTCGGTTTCGGAGCCGTGGGGGCCCCACCATGTGGCGTGTGCCCCTAGACGGCGCGTCTTGTTTTCCAGACTTGTGCTCACCAAAGTTAGGGCAACATTAACACCCTTGACGGCAGTAACCATCATGTATAGCGACTCTAGCCATCCCTGCTCATTCCCGGGTTTAGCAGTTCTCTTATGTTCCAATGCCGGAGTCAGAAAGCTATTTGGCAGGACTGGGCTTGGAAAATGACCTTGTGAACACCCGCTATGTTCCAAGCGCAGGAGATAAGTTTGGGCAAATAGGCAACCCGGGGCGCTCCTACAAAGTAACAAGGCCAGCGCTGTTGTCACAAACCTCGAAATACTGTGACCCCGTATACCAGGCGGAGGATCTACGTGCCGCGATCGCACGCATCAGATTGTGCCGGAAGTAAGATAAGGAATCATCTGGTCATCGCTCAAAAAAATGCCGCCGGCACTCGCACCGCCACCTCAGCATACTCTCGTTTAAAAGCAAAATTTCACAATGTAATACTTAAGATGCCACTACCAAAACTGCGCCAAAACTTAATGCTACCCCTAGGACAAAAATGCCGTTGACGCAAATAACAAACAAAATCAGTTCGTTCGTTGAAGCTCCTGTACCAGTTACCCAGTACAGCAACCCGCATTCCTTATCACAGTCGCAAAAACAGGGGAAAGCGTTCGTCCATGACAGACACACATACTCGCACACAGACTGCCTGCCCAGCACTGCCGTATAAAAACAGTAAACCAGCCGACCGCTCGTTTCCCCAGTCGAAGCCATGGAACGGCGTCGCTGCATCCTAGTCCATGCCCCTCGTTTGCCACCGCTCTCAGGCTGACCTCTCACTTCCATCTCCCGAATTTCTCTCCATGAAAGAGGCCCCACAGAACGCATTGACAGGTGTGGCGGTGGCGGTGTGCATGTTGCATGTGTATGTTCACCACACCAAGGCTCGCTCTCCACAGCCAATTCGAACCCAGCCCCCACCCAAGCCCTTAACATTACCAGCTAGATCCCGATATCAGGCGAAAGCTGTTCATCCACAATTCAACCTCCGCACAGCCAGTGCATTGCATGCCCCCCTCCCTTCTCCAGGAACGAAATCGCGAGTGCTTGCAGTCACGCGGGGAGGTCTGTTGCCCCGACCACCAACCAGTAACACCGACGGGTATATCCCCAAAACATGGCCATAGCCAAAACATGGCCGTAGCGATACCGCTTATAGAAGAAAACGGAGGGATTCGAAGTGGACCGCATCACAGCGGTGTGATCCAAAAAGTTGAGGACTTGGAGCCAGTCAGGGCTGCTGTGCTGAACTCCGAACGAAGCCTTCGGCCGACTCTCAGGCCTTCGGCTTATACGAGACCTTTCGGCCAATTCGAGACCTTTCGGCCAATTCGAGGCCTTCGGCCAATCATAACTTTACGAGGAAACCCGCCGATGGGGAGATGCGGAAGTTGGTCAGGCACCTTGACTCTGCAAATTGGGCGTCTAGCTGCTCTCCGCATACGGCAAGATGGTGATAGTGCCCCTCTCGCTCTTTAGCGTGACGGGGGTTTCTGCCCGCTTAAGAGCCGGGACCACAGTGCTCAGGACCTACATACATGCAAACATACGCAAAAACACATACACGGGGTTGTGCATAAGGGTCAGCTGGCCACCACGGACACACACAGACACACACGCTCGCGAGTGTGAGCGCGCGCCAGAGGCAGAGAGAGAGAGAGCAAGCGAGCCTATAACATGGCTATATATGTATATGTACGCATATGCTCACAGCGCAGGTGTACAAGACCACACAAGTGCCGTGCAACGGGAGGGGTTGGAGAGCGGAGGGCTCAGAGGGAGGGAGAAATGAATCTGGCTTTGAGAACGTAAACCGGTGTGAAGGATGTCGAGAGTTTATTTTATTTCTTCAAGGTACTGAATGGAGGCGGGGGTTGCGTTCGAACAGAGAACGTCGACAGCTCTTGGAAAGCAGATGTATCCCCCAAAGTGTAGTGGCCAAAGAGGGAAAGGGGGGCACAGCACATGTCGCTCGAAGTGACGACACTCACCTACTGGTCAGCTAAAGTACGCACAAGCATTGCGGAGGAGGCGCCACACACACGCAGACCTATTATACAACACGCACGCACACCCAACTTCCTCCCCCCCACACACACACACGCACACGAGCGCGCGCCCGCCCACGCCACCCACGCCCCTGCACACGACTCTTGTATTTTCTTTTTGACGGTAGTCTTAATCCTTGATCCTCACTTCGTTGTCGCCAACATGCATACAAAAGACACACGGCCCGTCCGGTACCGGTCACAGCTACGGTGGGGCCCCCGTGGGTTCGACAAATGGTTACTTTTAGCGCGAGAAGAAACATCGCCGTTTACGGGGCGAGCCACAAAGGTAGACTAGTTTCAAAAGGATGATATTCTATTTGTGTAGCCGTTTGTCTGTATGTGTTTCTCTATATGTCTGCAGTGTGAAGTACGATAAATGACGTGCTGTACCCAGAGAGGGGCAGCCGCGGCAATGCAGGGCCTGTGTACCTGCTGGTGCAGCTGCTGGTGTTGCTCTTGCTGCTGCAGGTGATGGTGTTGGTCGTGTTGCTGCTGTTTTTGCTGTAGCTGGTGTTGCTGCTGTAGCTGGTGTTGCTGCTGCTGCTGCTGTAGGGTGTGTTTTGCTGACGTGTCCTGACGTGTCATCGTGGTCACGTGACGTCTCAACCGGATTACCTGCCACAGACATGTAGCACGCGACCATGTAACACAAATGCACACAAACACACAGTTTTACAACACAAAAAAGAAGAAATATAATATCTATTTATATAATAAATTATAAACAACCCGCACGCATAACACGCCTAGCAGCAAATGTCCATCGCAGAGCGCGCACATGTTCCACCTCGCTATCTAGCGAATTTTGGTGTCTTTTGCTTTTCACTTTCATTTCCCACAACACCCCCCAAGTTACACATACACACAGCAACCCACACATGGTCACAGCATGCAAAGGAACCCGCTACCATCACACCGAGGCAGGCATGATGCGGCAGACAGGCACTGTTCACGGATGAGTGATGGAAAAGTCATCTAGATGCTGTATGTCAGTTGGATTTTAAAAAGGGGCCCACCGGTGGGGTATGAGAAGCTCAACTGGAAGAAGAGACACACACACACACACACACACACACACGCGCGCGCGCGTGTGCCAGCATGAGCCCCACAAACCTAGAACCCACCTTGGTGAGGAAGTGGGAGAGCAGTCCAAGAGGTCCGAAGACGGAGCACAACAACACGCTGTGGGATGTGGGGATGCCCAGCCGCAAACCTAGGGGAGAGGCAAAGGGGGAAAACAGCAGGGGTGAGGGGAGGAGGGAAAAGATTGTATTGTGTACGACATTAAAGGGAAAGCAGCGGCGATGAAGGGGGGGGGAGCGCCGGACGGCATGTGGTGGTGATGAGGGAACCCCGCCGACCCGAACCCCTCCTCCCTTCCTCCTCCTGCTATTCCATAACGCACCACCACCACCTGGTTCCCAACTTGCCCCGCCACATGGCAAGATACCGGAGTGTGACTCACTGTACGGAGTGTGACTCACTGTACGGACTGTGCCTTTGCACGGAGTGTGACCGACTATGGAAATTTAGTGCTCAAAAGCGCTCTGTCGCTACAAGGCTCCCTTTCCCCCTCCCCCTCCCCCACCCCCAAGCACCACTTCCCTTATTAGGAAGCCCGAATGTGTCTTCCTCTTCCTCCTCTGCCCTCCCCCTCAAGATCCGAGTTCACTGGTCCTCTCCCTCCCCCAACCCCTCCCCGCCCCCCTCCCCTTCTCCACGTGTCCTGCGCCTCCCCCCACTCCTTCATACAGCCCCTCTCACCCCTCCACTCCAACTCCCACATCGCACCTCCCCTCCCCCCAGTCCCTCACCGTCCAGGAGGCACCACCTGCCCGCAAACAGGTTGATGACCAGCACATGCAGCACCCAGGACGCAGTCACACCCAGGCGACTGAACAACGTGCAAATACCCTCCAGGCGGGGGAAGAACTGCGGGTTGAAGCCGCCTGAGGAGGGAGAGGGCCGCGGAGCAGGGAAGGTGGAGGCAACAATTCATTCGGAAATTGTCCGGAAGCTGAGATTTAACGTTTTTGGAGCACTCTGCGCAAGTGGGTGCACGCCTATTCGAAATGCGGTGCTCTATGACTCCGATTTCGCTGGCGGCAAACACCCAAACCCAGCTCTTTCCCAATCCGCGCATAAGGGAGGGAGGAGGCGAAAGGAACAGAAGAAAAGAGAAGGGAGGAGGAAGAGAGAGGGAAGCTCAAGTATCCCATGCCCACCCTCCTTGATGTGGTGAAAATCTAAGTTTGGCATGAGATGTGGACCTGTCGTTAGCAAAGCACCGCAATGGTACGGCAAACATTTCACCGGCCGTTCGTGCGTCCTCCGTGGCCCTTTTCTGTATTCCATAAAGCTTATCTTCGTGGTCTACGCTTGTTTTAAAGCTAGGACGGTGTTCATTTTCGCGGCCTCCTGGTCGACGGCCTTACCTGAGAATCCTGCAGCTAGGCTGCCGGGCATCATTATCTGAAGCGTGTCTGGCGACCAAGATGAAATAAGCAACGCCAGATAAGCAAGAGAAAGGGGAATAAACGGCCAAAAGGACGAGAAGAGCCTGGCAGACTTCCGCGGGAAGAGCGCCATCTGCGTTCAGCGGTCAAAAGCCCCCCGGGTCGGCAGATGTGCCTGAAAATTACATAGAGCCGTTGCATAAATCGCATTGTGAATGGTGACCTACCGCAACGAAGCAAAGCGTAGTGTACGCAGCTGATGCCACGACGGTGTAAATGACCGCGTCAGGCAAAGTGGCAGCAACGGGCGCACCCGACGCTGCCGCAGCAGTAGCTGCTGCTGCTTTGCAGCATGGCTTGGTTGCCACCACCGCAGCCTCCGTTGCCCTGCAAACTGTGGTCAAGCCATGGACAGGCTCGGTATGAAGTGCCTGTGCATTCCTTGTCTGTAGGAAATGTCCAGGAAGACGTGCTGCGAAAGGATTTAGATGGCAGCGCCTAGCCCAGTTTTGTCGGGAATTGGTTCCAAGTCTTCGTTGTGGAAGCGTGCTCATCTTTTCTGACGCCAAGACGTGAGATCTGTTTGCAAATTGTAGATCAGTCACACAACTGATAGATCAATCACGTAAGTGATAATCAAAAAAGGTTAGGTGCAAAGGGGTGAACTTTCAGATTCCTGGGATCGCGTTTTCCAACCAACGCGCAACTACCTAAATTTTTTTGGCCGAATGGGCAACAACTTACAGCACGCTCCATGCAAAGTAAATACAGGTCTTATTGGGAAGCTGATCTTCCAGAATACGACGACTTGCCGTGTTACCGTTACCTTCGAGCCAGGCTTCGACCTGACAGTGAGCGTGTTCGTGAGCACGGATGTGTCCCAACAGATATTATAAGGCAGCAAGGCGCACTGAGTCACAGTAACATACTCGGCTGGCCCTGTACATATGCTGGCACATAGCAGTTCAGGAAGGGCCCAACATGGACCAACAACCATATCAGAAACCAGCGACACACCGGACCATCCCACAATTGTTTAAAGAGCTTCCGTAGCCATGATGATTGAAGACACAACCATCATGTTAAGTACATATCTTGTGATGACCGGGTATGGCCGCAAATGCCGCCAAGTGCGAGGTCCTCTTTTGGGGGGCGCTACACGTGAGCGGAAGCGGCTTATGGAAGCTGAGGACCGGTTAGGTGGGGTGGGGTTGAGGGTGCTGACCGGCAACGAGACGGCACGGTATCTCGGGTTGCACTATGGCCCAGGAGTGCAGTTTTGAGCATGTACCAAGCAACTACTCACAGCAGGGAGGCGGGCCACGTTTGGGCTCAGCACCCTGTGTCGAGATAAGAAAACTACCACCCCCAAGCTATGTATGTCTCTCTACAATACACTAGTTGTACCGGTGTTTTCTTATGGAGCGCAAGTTTGGGGACCTGACTCCATAAATGTGAGTTTTGAAGGTGCTATGACTAATCCCATGGTCCAGGAGCAGCGTGCATACATACATGCGATCTGTAGTTGGGGCGAGGAGCCCGACTATCGCTTCCCTATACCGCGAGCTGTCACAGAGGCCGCTCCAGTTCCATTGGACCAATCTCGTACTTAGGTTTTGGAACTCTGTGGTTAAGAGGCCGGGAACACTGTGTCAACGGGCATTTGTCGCTGACCTGGAATTGGCACTTGGGGGCGTCACTGAGTGTTGGGCAAGCAAGGTACTAGCCTTTCTTACTAGCTTAGGAGTGGACCCCCCCACTAATACGCGCGGTAATGATCTTATAGCGTATTACGCCACCCTTAAATTGCCAGTTGAGAGCATTCTTAAGGTATTTGCCAAGCGGCTTGATGCAGGGTGGGAGTGCCCGAATACCTTGGGTGACCCCCGCGTTTTTCCCATAGGGATTACCGGAGCCAAGGCTTCTCGCTATATGAACTGGATGGGAGCGGCCCCGCCTCGGGGTGCGCGTCTCGATTGGTTGGAGCGCACGAAAGTGACCATGCCCCAGCGACTACATCATGTGCTCATGCGTTTTCGGTTAGGCTGTTGGGAGTTAGAGGTTAATATGCCTAATGGGCGTGAGCGCACCGCACGAACCTGCAGGCTTTGTGACTGTGGAACGGTTGCAGTTGAGATGAGATGCATGTTTTCGATGAATGTCCCGCTTACAAGAGCATACGGGCTTAGTATGATGGTGATCTAGTCTTTAAGGGGCGCAGCATGCGCACCATTATGCCTGAGGCGCCACCCCTGGCATTGGCCAGGCACCTCTCGGAAATTTGGGAGGCCAGGCACGTCGCGCTGAGGCGCTTCACCCTGAAGCGGACGAGGGAGAATGAAGATGACCTCCCGCGTACCCGCATCAATACCAATACAACGTCCATGGCCCCCCTCAGGCTTTGACGGATCCCCCCCCCCACTCGTACGGCACTTGTAACTTGTTATCGCCAGGGTAGTGGTTCATGATGGCCCCGGTCGCCTCAGCTCCCGCGGCCTGCAGGTGGGTAAGGGACCGCCGGTCACATATCATGTCTGACCCTGTTTGTTAGCCTCATCCTTCCCTCAGAAACTTCCGTCCTTACCTCGGGGAAGAACGTCTTGGCCTTCCACATGGCACTTTACGTTTGGCCTGCGGAACCGCCCAGTCGGTGTCAATCTTGTTTTGTAGTTAATCTCGGCCACATGCTCGACCTTCCTTCTTCCCACTCTTTTGCTCCCTACCCACCAGGCTGCTCCAACCCCGTCAGTGAGGCTTTTCCGGCGTTAGACAGTCATCTGTTTCGGCGGGAGCTTGAAGTGGTGGGGGGTATTTGACTTGAAGGCCACTGCTACATGCAGTCCGTTTGGTGTAAGAAAATACCGAACACAAATTATTGTTACGAAAGCGTGTGGGGGGAACAGTTTCTGCACTACCAAGCGCCAAGTCGTGTAACAGCCGGCTAACGGTCGAGTTAGAATTAACTCCTACGATGTGTCCCATTGCGTTCGCACTTCATGGTGCCTCAATCCTTGTAGTAATGGGTTTCAGATGGGCCCCAAAATGCTTCTCCACAGATCAATCGCAAGGACATCTCATGAGGTATCCGCGCGCATGTAACTTCCGTAGGCTCCCTAGGAGGTGGCCTTTACTTGGCCGTCCCTGGCGGTCGTTGACTTCGGTCCCACAGACTTCTAGTATGTTCGTAGCCTTTGGGACATGTTCGTTGGTGCCCCTTCACCGACGGTCTTCCTGTTCCGTTCCGTCCTTCAGGCACCTCCCGTGCGTGTCGAGCTTTAACCGCCCGCGCAACCCAAAAGTCAGAATCGCCTCGGGGCTCCCCCCTTGCCTTAATCTATCAGTTTCCGTAGTTGGTGAAATCGAAAATTCATGGGCATGGTGTGATGCAGGGGATCCCCCACATGGGTGTGGAGATTGCGCCATCTTTTATTGCGCCTCTCGCTTTTGCAGGGTTGCTACCGTATTACTTTTGACCGTCCGGCGTAAAACGACATCCCAAAATTTTTATTACGCCCGGCGATGGCGTATTGTACGACGCCAACTTTTTACTCGGCGTATTGCAAATGCTCCGAAGTATTTTCCCTTACAGTATTTCTAGCGAGAAACATTTGCAAATAGCAGAAGATTAACAAGCGTATTTCTAGATCGTGACGTGAAGATATCGGAGCCGTGGCCCTGCTGCTTGCCGGTACACTAAGCTGGGCTCCGCCGAGACCTGATCGTCACCACCTTGCCGAGCAGCGACAGCGGCTTGGGCGCCCTGCCCCAGCAGCCGCAGCTGCTTAAACTCCAGTTTCTTGTCGGGCACTGCTCCAAGTGCAGGGCCAGTACGTGCAACTTGGCGCGTCTGGCAGGGATTTCAGTGCCGCATGCCTTTCACTTCTTGGCGTGACGGCAATTAGTAGTGCAATATGGCTCTATGGCATCGAAGTAGTCGTTCGTAATGCCTGGTTTAGCAGCACGTTTGGCTTTCTTTGGTTTGGGCCCATCATCCATCGTGCCGCCTGACACGAACACCGACTGTTTACCTAAGCCGGTCGATATCACTGCATTACTGAAAAGATACAATTAGCAACAGATAGAGCAGCGCGCGCTGTTTGGGGTAGGTTTGGGGCCTGACCATACGGTAAAACTAATACACCGGCTTTACGCCACTAATGCGCCGGCCGAAAAATTGACCACCTCGCCGGCGTATTTGGGTGTAACTGTGTTTGGAGTATTACATTGTAATGATTCGGTCGCAATCCTGGCTTGCTTGCTTTGTGAGGTTACGACTTTTTGGCTTCTTTGGTTTCATGCCCTCTACGATATCTATAGCTAATAAGTTTACAGCAGTTATCCTCTGATCAAATTGCTTGTGGCAAACTGTGTCCCTAGTCTTGCCTGGTTTGCCTGTACTGCTCACGACCGGTTTCGGCAGTGCACGGACAGGATTCGCAAGAACGGATGGAGAATGCTCTTGATCTTCGTCGCAAATGAAAGGATGTTTTTGTGATAATGGGAGCATTGTGGATGCAGTTGTTACGCTAATAATTCTGCAGTTTTCCCTCATATTCCAAGCCTGCCTTGTGCGCTGGGCAACAAGGCCCGCTCTGGAGCCATGGTTTGCTCAACCATGCTAACCAGCGCAACGGAGCTCTTGGGCGATGGCGCGCAGCAGCAAAATCAGGAAGCTCTTATTACTGTGTTGGGCATATGTCTTCTCATTATTGGCTTGTGCGCGTTCACTGGCGCTATATTGGTTTTACAACAGCTTCAGCAACCAAGTTCACGCACAGAGTCGGCAACCGTTGCCCCCGTCCGGCGAGCTTCAAAGCCGATGGTGAGCCGTGGCTCCTCGCTGGGAAGATATGAAACATCGCAAGACATGGCGATTGTTTCATTTCAATTGCTGTGACAGAGGACATAGTCCGAATCTATGCTCCTGACAGGCAACCGCCTGCAAGCGTTTGGCGCGTTTGGCGCTTCTTGAGTTATGCACACTTGTCTGAACCATCTTTAAATGGTTATCCAGGCGGCCACCACACAATTTCGTCCTCTTGGCGAGGGCCTGCGGCATCGAGGCGACCTAACACGGCAGACGAGCGGGAAGCTTGACCGCAGCTCGTCCCTACTGCTCACCTCCGCGGACGTAACTCCCACCTTGAATTCCACCGACGTTTCCTTTGCACGTTCCTCCGTGGGCAACTTGGGCACCACAACTACAACCCCGACCGGAATCACTTCTTCAGCTGCCGCCCATCCAACAACTGCCACATCATCAAGCGGCGACGCGGCTCTGATGTCAGGCTGCTTGCAGGTCACGTCTAGCAGCATCTACAGCGGCACTGGCGGTGCACATCCCATTTCGGTGACCAAGCCGATTGACGGAATCGACATTGGTTTGCTCAGTCGTATCGACGAAGCCCTTTCCAGCGGTTACATGCAGCCCCACCAGGCAACCCAGCTACTGAAATCGTACGGCTGTGACCTGGTACGTGAGGGATTGGCACCTCCCAGCATGACCGACCCCTCCCCCAACCCAGCCCTCCCCTCTTCCGCACCTCCTCTCTTGAGTTGTATACGCCCGTGCCTATACCTGATAGCTATCTCCGCCTGCCTAACTCCATTCAGTAATGCCAAAAAACGCCAACCGTCATTTTAGCTGACGTGTCCACGTCCCGCAACCCAGCAATTGCAGCCGACGCTCGCGGCAGGTTTTCCCGCCCCAACCCCTCTCGCACGCACGGCCTGGCCAGAGTTTTTGGTCCCCATGCTATATGAGGCTGTCTCCTCCTCGTACAACTAGTTTTCCCCGGGCTAGGTGCGAGTACGACCTGGGTGTACGACAGGACACAGACAGGACAGAAACGTGCCTCTTGTGTTCCACATATAGTCTTTTGTCGAACGATGTTACGATGTACGGACGGTGTAATGGTGGGTGGTGTTACTACCTGATTACCAGCCCTGATAAATGTCGGTTGCCGCCGTCTTCCTCCGCAGTAAGTGGAGTAAATGGCTGGATGGAGGATGCGAATTCCGCACAGGCTTGTGGGCCTTCCCTTACCTTTCTTTTTCTAATCTCCCGGGCTACCCACCCACCCGTCGGTCTGATGTCTCCTTCCTTTGTTATTTGTATCCCCTCACTGATTGCCGTACGCCCCTCACCAATGTCGGCCGCACCTCCCAGGATGACCTCCTGCGCACCGAGCTAGGACGCGACTCAGCCGACGGAGAGGACGGCCCCGCCGCCGCCCGCCTCGCCTCCGCGCACGTTCTGGGTGCCGTTCGCCCTGCAGCCAGCACCGCCCCTGCCGCCACTACCATCATCCGTACCGCCCCTGCCGCCTCGCCTGCTACCACCCTCACCCCGGCCGCTGCACATCTTAGCCCCGCTGCTACTGCTGCTGCTGCTGCTGCATCCCCGCCACCGTCGCTGCCATCACCAGGCACTGCTACAGCTGCAAACCCGCTCCACAATAGTCTCCAACAGCAGCAGCAGCAGCAGTCGGGAGGCCTACAGCGGTCGGGAAGCTCCCAGAAATCCCTGGTTTCGGGGCCAGATCAACCCGGACACCCCCTGCCTCCTCAGCAGCCGCAGCAACAGCACCAAGGAGGTCTACGCAGCCAGGGAGGATCCGCCGCCTCTATGTCGTCCCTGTTAAGTACGGGTGGCGGCGGCGGTGGCGGCGGCGGTGGCGGCCATATTTCCGGTGGGGATGGGGCTCCGGGCTCCGCCGGCTCGGCTGTCGTCATCGATGATGCGTTGCTGCTGAAGATCGACCTGGCATTGGCGAGTGGCTGTGTGCGGCCTGATCAGGCAACCCAGCTGCTCAAGTCCTATGGCTGTGACCTGGTAGGGGGCAGGGGGCTGGGGGGGAAGGCGGGGTGCGAAGGAGGGAAGGGGGCAGATCACCTGGACATGCATGCATGCATGATGCGTGGACGGACGTACTCATACGTGATGTATGAGCAAGAATAACAGCAACACATACACACATACACACATACACACACACACACACTCGCGCAGCCGCAGCAATTGCTGCCACTACTTGGCTGTCTGCACATCACTGCGGTTATCACTTAACAACCAGCAGCTGTCGGTGCCATAAACAACTAGATATGATCGTTAACGACCGTTACCGTTACAACCGCAGGAGGAGCTCCTCCGTGAGGAGCTGGGTGAGGAGGCCTTATGTCCCAGTCGCCAGCCCAGCAGCGGAATGTCTTGATGACATGTCTTTTGCGATGCCACGTCATGCCACGTCATGTCATGTGACCAGCAGTGCCCCGCATCAACGATAGGTGCCAATTTACCAATGGCAGTAGTGCTATCAGCAGTAGCAGCAGTAGCAGCAGCAAGGGGTGGGGTTGGCGCGGGGTACCCCACAGTACAGCTGTTGGTGCGCACCCCCTAAGGTATCCGCATCAACACGTGTGGCTCTACTCGCCTGTCTTGTCCTTCACCTTTCCCTCTTCGTTCCCTTCGTTGCCACGGAGCGGAGGGAAAGGGAGGGAGCTAAAAAGAGGAGAAGGCACTTTCACACACCTCTATATCTCAGCTGATCGTCCGCACGCAGCACCCAGCGCGGCGAGGGGGAGTAGGGGTGGATGTCGATGAAGGGAGTTCGGGAGGAGAGGGGAAATAATGAGAAGGCAAAAGTTGGGGGAATAATCGTTGGCCGTTTCATGTATGTATGTATGTATGTGGGGGGAGTTAACAGACAGACCGGCAGATATGTGTCTGTATGCGCCAAAGGAGGGGATGACAGTTGGGTCTGTATGTACGAACATGCTTACGTAATGGATTTTATAATTGTGATCAAACAGAGCGAGTCAAGGAGCTGGTCTGCCGTACGTTTGCCTGGAGTGCCGTGCAGGTACAGGATGAGGAGTGCCGTGATGTGAATGGGACATTCCTGCTGAAGCTTATGTTGATGTCAATGTTGACGTGTATTGAATGCGCGCGTTTGAAGAAAGGTCTCGGCAGCACTAGTAGTACGAACCACCCGCGACCGTATAATTACAACAAAGGGGGGAGGTACTTGCAACACAGCGGGATGTGGGGATGGAGGTGTGGCGAGAGACTGACAAGGAGGGGGGCAGGAATGAAAACGGGGGGGGGAGGTAACGAGGGTATGCTGCAATTGGTGGAAGTCATGGGAGGGGAGGGGGGGTGCATGCATGCTATGCTGCACATGGGTGTATATGAGGCTGCGTGAAAGCAAGACGCGTGCGATGGCATCACCGGGGATTGAGAATAATAATAATAATGATAATACTAACAATAAAGTTTTCAGCCTATGAATTGTGATGCGGGGTATGATGCTGCTGATGTGGTGGGAGCTTATTCGCACTGCAGGGGGGTGGGGGGGGAGGTACCTGGGAGCCCATAACGATGGGGGGAGGTTCCGTGCTCAAATCGGCACGTGTGTGAAAGTGGGGCATCTGACACGAACATGAGTAGAGGCGGCGGAGGATGATGGGGGAGGAGCTGGGCAACTGCAGCTATCATAACGCTGGTGGCACAGGAAGGCGTGGGCGGGGGCCACGTGCGGGGGCGGGGAAGAGGTGGGGTGGGGGAGGGGGGTGGGTTGCGGGGGGAAAGCGTCACACGCTTGATGATGGAGGAGGAGTGGGGGCCGGGCAAAGGAAAGCATCATGATTAGCATACATGTAAGAGCATGGAAGGTGGACATACCTAAGCATAGCGCACAAAAGAGGCATGGGAGGTGAAAAGGATGCTCGGAGTGAGTGAGTGTGTGTGTGTGTGTGTGTGTGTGCGTATGTATGTGTTTTGAAGAAAGCACCATAGAGCGCTGATGCTGCCAAACCACAAGGCGTGCACGCATGCCGCCACCGGCTGTGCATTTGTATGTGTTACATGT